GGAAAAGATGTAAAAATCTTATAAAGTGGTAACAAGAAGAGTCGCAGAGAATAACATATTTGGCGACGAGTCTATTCAGTTTAGTGCAGCCTGCTACTCATTTCACATGGGCAGTTATCAGACATATAGATGTCGATCAAAGTTATGTATCAGTAGAGGACAACTCACACAATCTGAAAGTCAAATATCAGGTCAACAAGACGGTCATTACCAACATAGGGAAATAGAATGATAAGAAAGTTTCTACAGATAAATAAACACGGATATGATCAACAGGAAGCATAGATATTGTATCTCTGGGGAATTTCAAAAGTTGATTTCATCTTAAAGTTAGCATTGAAAGAGTTGTTCAAAAGACAATTAAGCCATCCAACTCACAGAACGCAACAATACCAAAAGTAGACAGTCAAATTTTACAACTCACAGTCAACATTTAGATATGATGTAGAAGATTTGTAGCTCAGGTCGATGATTTTGATGTGGCTGTGTTCTCTGAGCTGGATAGTTGATTTGTGAAACTTTCATCGCCATACTAGGCAACATCTTCAGCTCATGCTTCAATTTGAAGTGAGCTTTTAGATTTCTCCACGAGTTTATTATTCGTCTCTCCTGGTGACCTTAGACGTGAATGGTTGTTTCTGTGTGTTTCCAGTTGGTAAATTTTGTCTATCTCGATGTGTCTATTGATTGATGATTCACTGGAATACCAGGCTTCCTAAAATTCTCTAGCATTCTTGGTGTTTCCTCTGTCTAATATTTGAACTTTATCCCAGTCGTATTGACGTCCGTAGTTGTCTGTATGTAGTATCATTATCACCAAGAATGCTAGAGAATTTTCAGAAGCCTGGTATTCCAGTGAATCATCAATCAGTAGACACATCGAGATAGACAAAATTTACCAACCGATAGGAAGGAAACCTCATACACAAAGGGTCAAAGTTCAAGTCAAAGAAATAATCAGTTCCAATACAAGTAGCCTAGAAGGTGTGAAAACACACAGAAACAACCAATCACGTCCAAGGTCACCAGTAGAGATGATTAATAAACTCGTGGAGAAATCTAAAAGCTCACTTCAACAAATTGAAGTATGCCTGAAGATGTTACCTAGTAAGGGGCAATGAAAGCTTCGCAAATTACTATCCAGCTCAGAGAAGACAACCACATCAAAAACAGTCAGCATTACCACCCTTTCATATCTGTCATAGGATAATTCAGAGAGTAAACAGCAGAAGTTACACTTATAAGTAGTAATCCAAGGGGTTAACTGAATGAATTTCTTTAGAATAGATGAACTTATTAGAACATCATATCACATCCGGGAAATATTAAAACACAATTACGACTATCTAAATGATGACTAACTATCCAAAAAGAGCATTACGGTAACTACCTTTGCAAAGCTAATTATACTGTAAATTCTTCATAAATTGCCTATTCTGAAAGTATGAAATTGAATTCATCGTAGAGGAAAATATGACTCATAACTGATCATCGTTTTCTACGCAAGCCATCAGCTAAATATCTGTGCTTAAACAGGGTCAAAGGTTGCATCGCTAGTATTTTACTCGTTCACTTTTAACCAATGTATGAAAGGACATATTTTCTCTGCTGTGCCTGGCATTTATTGGCCTTGTTTATTGCCCATCGTCAGCTGAATTCTACCCGGAGAACTTGAATTATAGTGTCTAATTTTGGAGCTATGGTCCATTACATTTAATTTGGGATAATTAAAGGCTGCTTATTGGCTTCCTACTTACAGATAATTATTCACTACCTCCTTCTTAGCAAGAAGTCATCTTTGACTTAAAGATTTTTGAATTAAGACAACCATAAGGGTTTCAATGTAGATTTCGTCACGAACCAAGTCATCAGTTAAAGAATCATTGTTGTTATTGTTTCGGCTTAGTTTAGGAGACTTCAGAAATATGCATCTACAGCTTCATTAGAGGTGTAATCCACTATGAGTATAGCTGTTATGCACCCAATTTCTGTTACTTTGGGTACAGAAAGAAGCGGATGTCCATTTCTTTCTAGCTTTTAATGAATCTCCACACTACTGGGGAATAAATAAAAAGGCATGAACAGTATCACCTGCCTACACTACAATTATACTTTATTATTTAGGAATTTCAGTCTCATAAATCATTCAAAAATATCAAAACAACTTGTGTAAACAATTTCTCTTATTAATTTGAAAAATAAATTCTATCATCAAAATATAATCTTTCTGTTCATAGAAAAGGATTTTATAGAAATTTTAATATCCGACTTCATTTAGAGTGGAACAAGCACATCAGTGAAATTCGATATAATAATAATAAACATTCCATCTGTTCTATTACTCAGCAACTTTTCAATCTCAAAAGGAAATAACTTCACTAACTCTGTTTGTGCAACCCTAATGAACAATTATTAGTCTCTAAATAGAAAGGAAGAAGTTTTCCAAAGGTTTGGACAGTTTCAATCAAGCTTAAATTAACGGAAACCTGCATAAATTACATACACTTGTATTCTTAGCAAATGAAAACAGACTTTTGAGATGTAAGATACGAAATGTTATTGTTAATTCCGTGAGATAGCAAGCACACAATACGCATAAAATCAGCTTATCCTAAAGACTAGTCAATAACTTCAAAGATTATTGTTTCTTCCTTCATAATTTAATACTTGTGATGATCGAACACACTGGTAGTAGGCAAAATAATGTACAATGGTGGCAAAATACAAAAATTTTACATAGAAATTTCCTTTGTATAGTTTAGTTTGTAAGCGTTAGTTTTGGTTTTACGATTGATCACAGATTGATACCACTTAGAGAACCATTAAAAACCAGGAAGTACTGGACAGCTGCTGTTTCATCCTAGTTTGGGAATAATCGGCAGTATGCAGCCACCGCCGGGGTTCGAACCCAGAACCTTCCGGTTACAAGGTAAGCTCGTATACCATACAGCCACTGGATCCGATTCAATGGCTCATGAATTCTAAATTCTACTTGACTGGGGTCGCGCTAAATCACGAATCGGTAGAAGTTAGAATTCATTCACTGGCGATTGAATCGGGTCCCAGTGGCTGAATGGTATACGAGCCAACTTGCCTTGTAACCGGAAGGTCCTGGGTCCAAATCCCAGAGGGTGTGTACTTCCGATGATTCCCAAACTAGGATGAAACAGAGGTGTCCAGTACCCCTGGTTTTTAATGGTTCTCTAACTGATATCAATCCGTGATTAACTCGTAAACATAGAAATTCCATTTACACAAAATTTCTTCTATGCAGAAGTTTTTTGAGGACACTGCCTACTATCACCAATTGTATTCCTGATTGTGGTGAATGGATCATGCAACAGACTGTGGAAAGCGAAAAGACAGGCATATGTTGGACCGGTAAAAGGATACTCAAAGATCTAGACTTTGTGGCTGACTTAGGCCTGATGTCTGCAATAGAGAACCAACAAGCGGATAGAAGAAGCGGCGAAGACAGGAGTCAAGGTAAACATAGAAAAGACAGCTGTAATAATGATGCCCAACCAACAACAACAAAAATACCAATCACTGTCAGTGGAATAAATTTATGGAAGTCATGTCTTTCACTAGCCTGGGTAGTGTCATCACCAAAAGCATCTCCAACAGCCCGATTCAGAATTTCATCAATACCCATCTTCGCTTGATCATAAAGAACGGATGGCAGGCTGGAAAGGATAAGCAACAAGGATTTCTGACAGTAAGCCAGCCAACAACCTGTTGTTGAAGAAATATACAGATGAAAATGGAGATGGATTGGACGTATGCTAAAGAGACTACCTGTGATGGATGGGGAGGGACAAGTTGGACGTGGACCCTGGGGCAACATTCAGGAGACCAATATGAAGAAGAAATGGAAACCTTTGAGCAGCCATGAAGCCAGATAAAAAGGATGGCGCTACTGAACTTGTATTTCCTATACAAAACCCAAAAGATAAGTGATAATAAATTACTTGAGCATGTTGAAAATCCCGATGCTTAATCCCATATGAATCAAACCTCCAAGAGTGAATAAAGTCGTAAAATGTATTAAAAGGGCTCTTTCTATATCCTTTCGGATCTGTTCAACTGAGCAGCACATACAGCTTTACGTAGTTTGCTGATTTTCTGTGATAATTTTTCGCTGGTTCCTTTCATTAGGAAAGGTTTCATGAAATCACTTGAGTGCCTGTAAGTCTAGCATGAGAACTTACTATTGACTTGAAAGGATGTTGTTAAGATTTGGTCTAAAATTAACCATATTTTTACTAGCTTTATGATTCCTGTTAGGTTTGTTACATGGAGTATAAATACGTCTTTAAAATATTTCACAAGCTATTCAAAAGTATATTGAACGCGTAAATCTGCTTAAACATTACACATTAAGAGCTATTAGAATAGCTACTTACGTAGTGTTTCCTTAATTCTAGCAGGCATACAAAGCTAAGCTTACCCACAAAGGCTTCTTCATATTCACATAGAATCTACTGATATCAACAGTGAATTTAGTACACCAATAGTTCCCTTCCTTACTCATTCATTCAATCAATCATTCGTTTTCCTAGATAGGGTACTCTCCATTAGTACCCCCCTCCGCTAACACATTAAGAGTCGTGCCTAGCTTTATCTTCCAAATAACGGCACGATGGCAGGCTTCCGCAATACCATACAACCAGAAAAACCACCCTAAACATAATCTATTTTATCAATGCTTGTCTCAAACGATGAATCGAAAAACCATCAAATAATAATAGACTGATCGAATAATTTTCATTTTGCTAGTTTATTTACTTATATAAAATAAAGTAGTTAAAAAATTTTGTAAATAAATTCCTCCGTCAGGAATTTGAAATAAATATTAGCATCATTTGCCTTCTTCTTTATTAACAGTAATAAATGAATCTATGAATGTAAAGCGTACACAACGCTGTGTCTTTACGAAATATTTACCACAAAAATATTAAAATAAATTTGCTGAAATTTAACTGAATTCTTTGATCTTATCATGTTCGATGAATAACTGGAGAACATTTTAATGAATATTTATTTAAAGATGTTATAAGACGTTCTTCAACAAAAGCTGGTAGAGCATTAAGGCATCTTATGATATTGTATCGATTTCCACCACTTATCTGAAAAATATGAACAAGGAAACCACGATAAGTTATACACTTAGGTTCAATACATATTGAACATTTGTGCACTCGAGATAAACCATACGCATATCTCTGCATTCGTTTGACTAATTTATTAAAACTTTGTTCACTCGGTGGTTTAAAGGAATCAGAACGAAAGTAAGCTGTATAAGTCCATGCACCATCCAATTTTCTTTTAAAACCGAGTTGAGGAGCTGCTTTATTATGCATATTTACTGTAACCATTCCATGCCTATCATTAAAATAATGCTTCATATTACTGATTTCATATTTATAAACTTCAGAATTCGATAGAATCGGACAATTCTTTGTATCACCCACTGGACCATTTTGATGACTAAGATCTAACCAATTTACAGATAGCTTCTGAAATATTGATTTGTCTTCGGTTGTATCGTCGTTTTCTTCACCAAAATCACCAGTGTACTTAACATCGTCATCATCATCTTCAGATTGTAAATCATGATATTTGTCATTCGTAGTAGACATTAATGGAGGTGAAACAGGGATTTGAAAGAGATTGAAGGCATCATTATCCCATTTATCAGGACTCTTTTTTAAACTATTACGACGGAAAATATCGTCTTCTTCGAGGTGGTGTTTCTCTGTTATTGTCGTGTTTGAATTAATTTCAAATTTATTATCAATTTTGCTACTGTTACTACTGAAACCGGCAAAATCACCTATTTCAGTAGTATAAAACGTAGGAGATAAACTGGGAACATTATCATTTGGTATAATTTTATCAAAATTTTCTTTGAAATATTTTCATTCACATTTTTAAATTGTTTATTTGATGATTTCAAGTGTTTTTTAGTTAAATTATCATCTAATAGGTTATTGTTTGAAAAGTAAGAGAAATATTTCTTAATAAATTTATAATGTGATCTTCGACGACTGTTCGATGTACGCCTTGACGATAATGCAGAAGTATCTGTCAGTTCATCAGAAATATGAGTGTTTTGATTGCCCATTATTCTTCCTTTATTCAGTAAATATTTTATCCTACTAAAATTTTGTAAATAAATTTCAAAATACTGAAGTTAAAATAATTATTCAATGAGTTTAATGATAATTCATATCACAAATGCTAAAAAAACTCTGTTGAAGATGGTAAGTCATATTGATTTATGTTCGAAAATTAGATCAATAAATCACATGACTGAAGTAAAGATGTTGTAATTACTAACTTATACACATGATATGCATACCTGAATAATATATGATGTCAGTGAATGAATATACTCTCACTTACGCCATGATATGTATATTCGAATATTTCACCCATGCAGTATCCACTCCCCTATGGATCTGTGGCATGTCTTAGAGTGACTACCCCTAATTCTTCTCCATCGTAATCCTAAGACATTTAGCATTGCTCTCAAGGAAGGTGACGGCCTGTCACAATCAGATAATAATAATTATTGTTATGAGTACTGAAAACGGACCCAGAGACTGCAGCAGGTATGCTCACGCCATTACTGCTAAAAATTTGGAGGGAAGGAAAGGTACCTATTGATTGGAAAAAAACGCTACAAAGAAGGGTCACTTAGGCCTCACTCTGCAAGAACTGGCGTGGAAACATGCTCTTGTCTACGCCAAGTAAAATACTAAGTCGCTTCATTCTAGAGAAAATGAAGGGTACACTGGATACAGAACTTCACCAGTCCCATCGGAACAAGCTGGATTCAAGAAAGGCAAATCATGTACTGATCAAATTGCAACTCTGTGCATCGACATAACAGAACAAAGCATAGAATGGCAGTCAAATCTCTCCCTACATTAACCGCATCGACTTCGAAAAGGCCCTCGACAGACAGCGGTGACCGAGAAGTAATTTGGAAACTACTTCAACACTACGGCATGCAGTGTCCAAATCTCTATCAACTTCATTCAACAGCTGGCGATATGACAATCGCGTATGTCAGGTAATCCACAACGGAAAAGTCAACGAGTCGTCCGAAGTGCATACGGGAGTAAGACGAGATTGATATTTTTAATTGCGGTGGACTGGATTATGAATCAGACTGTGCAAGTAAATCATCCAGCTCACAGAACACAATTAACTCACAGGATATTTCATTCTTGGTTACCTCAATGTAGATCCCGCCACAAACTAACAGCAGTTAGAGAACCATTCAAAACCAAGAAGTAGAGAACAGCCGTTTGGTTACAGTTTGGAACTCTCCCTCATTGAGTAACCATGACCCCACCAGAGAACGATCCCAGGACTTTCAGTTTATGAGGCCAGTCTATCAACCATTCAACGACTGCTTAATGCTTAAACGCAATTCAACCTCTGCTTTATGTGGATGGAAGATGCTCTATATATGATATGATATGACATATAATATACGACATAAACCACCTGACAATACTCTGCTATCTGTAAGCTTATTGTATTTATTGCTCATCATAATAATATAATCACAAATCGAAAAGCCCATACTAAGCAGCATTAAAAATGCAGTTTTATTACACTTCTGTTCTTTTATGTGCTTTATTGAAATACAAAATCTGGAACTGTGGTACTTTTGTACAATGTTCTACTTTGATCAATCATTCAGTCCCTAAAATATGAGATAGACTATACAGGAAATGAAGTGAAAAATACTTTTATTAAATGATGGCACTGTGGGTAAATTATCCAAAATACCTCAACTCACATTCACTTTTCTAGTAAATATACAAGAAATACACCAAAGATTCCTTAGTGTTTTTCATATAGTTTATCGGAGTCATCAATTCTTCAGTATTGAACACACTAGTTTCAAGTCCATCCAAAAGAAGATGATTGATAGAATTGAAAAGTCAATGTCTTCCTTACTCCTTTACTTTCCCAGTGGAATATAGGACTTCAAGCCAAAGGCTTGATGATTCGGTAGCATTGATGCCTATTTTTAAGGAATTGGGTAGCTAGCCCCATGCCCAACCTTCCCTCTTTACCAGTTTTATTACTAGCTTAGTGAGGTAGAGGAGTGCGTCGGCTGAGGATCAAACCTCGGACCACACGCATAGTTAGCGAGCATTCTGCCACTGCGCCACCGACGCACGAAAAAGTTAATATAGGCGTCATTTGCCCACAAGCAACAAAATTTATGCATTTGTATTCTCACCCTATCTGATAAAAATATTTAGTTAGAGAGTTTACTGCTGTTATCGATGAAATGTTCATTCATAGGTAACTTGCGAAAACTTTCAGTTTCTTAAATGAGAAAATCAGGTTCCTACAGCAACGGCCGATATAACTCGCTCCACAAGCCAAGTTGAATTGGTATATAAAGTTAGAGGTGCCTAGTCTAGGTAGTTTATCTTTCAATCGACGAATCACAACCAGTCACGCAGCAAAATACGAATTGCAGTTTGCCGGTATTAGAGGTTCCTTGAACAGAGGTATGGTGGAAAACATTAGCAGCAGAAGTCAGAATTCGTGGGCCATTGGATCGCGTCCCAGTGGCTCAATGGTCTACGAGATCGCCTTGTAACCGGAAGGTCCTGGATTCGAACCCTGATGGTGGGCGCGTACTGATGAAGAGTCCCAAACTAGGACGAAACAGTTGTCCAGTACTCCCAGCTGGTTTTCCAATGGTTCTCTAACTAATGTCAGCTCATGATGAAAATCCTGTAACCTATCAAATCCCTACAAACCAACACTTGAATATCACCCGACCGAAAGCTGCTACCTTGACGTGGTGGTCGGGCTTGAACACCGCAATGATCTATTCAAGCTATACTGGCTGAGACTTATGTCTCTTGAGGTACTACCATGCCAGGCAGGTTGTTTGGATAGCGGTTAAACAAAAAGCAGCTACCCAATCCAACATCATGTCCAATACAAAATTACAAAATTTCATGCCGGATCGGCCGTGGCCCGGATTAACAACGACCGCGCTTCCTGCTGCCGTGTCACAGGGCAGGAGTGATAAATCTGCTACTGAGACACACCAAACAAAAAAGAACGAACAAAAACAGGCCGCGTGTGACCGGCCTCAAGCAGTTGTCCCCTGGGCTCTGCGGTCACGCAACCAACTTCCACGGTGTGGGCAGCCGGGAAGTAACAATCGCCCTCACAATCCGAAATGCACACGAAACCTCTCTATTACTCACTCATCTTTGTCTTCATCTTCATCTCTATCATCTTGCCTTCCTTCCACTGATGCAACTCCTCGACTTGATAGCTCTCCACTTCCTCTCCACTCTGCGTCCACTAAAAACGATGGAAGCCAAAAAACCACCACCGACAGCCTCTTAAAGCCGCGCCACCAATTTCATATAGGAGCTCTTAATGTTAGGACACTTTGCCAAATAGGACAACAAGCATCACTAGCCAAGACCCTGGCATCACGAGCCATTGATGTATGCTGTGTTTCAGAAACACGCATACAAGACCCAAGTGTGGTTATTCACCTAACCCCACCTGGCCAACAGGTTGAATCTGCAAAATTCACCTTGAGGGTGTCAGGAGATGCCACAGCTAGTTCACGAGGATTAGCTGGCGTAGGGATAGCTTTGAGTACTAGGGCAGAAAAGACATTGCTTGACTGGATCCCGGTAGATAGCCGAATGTGTGCTGTCCGCCTGAACGGATCAGTAAGAAGGAGGAAGGACTGCACTACTCGCCGATGCCTTTTCGTAATCTCCGCCTACGCCCCCACTGACTGCAGTTCAGATGAAACGAAGGATGAGTTCTACCAAAAGCTGTCTAGTTTGGTGGAAAGGCTAAACGCTCAGACATAGTCGTTCTAGCTGGTGACTTTAACGCTCAAGTAGGGAAATTGTGTCAATCTGAGAAGGATGTCGGTGGCACCTATGGAGTTCCGTGCCAGCGAACCGACAACGGTGACCGTCTCCTACAGTTCTGCTCTGATAATCATTTGTTTCTTGTAAGCACTAACTTTAAACACAAGGAGAGACACTGTTTGACTTGGAGACCCCCTTCATCAAACCAACGCTGGACACAAATAGACCACATAGCAATAAGCTATCGTTGGCGTGGGTCGGTAGGAGATTGTCGCTCCTTCTGGAACACGTGCGTAGATACCGACCATGCACTGGTCCGCGCTCGGGTGTGCTTACGACTGAACGGACGTAGGAAACAGCTGGCGGTAAAACCATCACGTCCCCAGCTCGATCAGGAAACTAAATCCGTATTTCAGGAAGAACTAGCTAAACACATATCTGTGTTCGACAGCTGTGCTCACCCTGAAGAAGCTTGGAAAAATATCCAGGCAGCCATAGATACAGCTGTAAAAGCTGTGAATAAGGTAAACCCAAAGGTGAGTAAAAACCACTGGATCTCCACCGCCTCATCCGAACTGATAGATGCTAGAAGACTTATTCCGGCGAGCTCCGAATTCAATGAGGAGCGAAAGCTGCACAAGAGGAAACTTACGAAAAGTCTCCGCAAGGACCGTGAACAGTGGTGGGCGACAAAAGCCAAAGAGATGGAGAAAGCTTTGAGGATAGGCAACACCAGGCAACTCTTTGGACTCATCAGGGAAACGGGTGGGAGAAGACAAATCATCAGTGAGACAATCTCGGAAAAAAATGGCACTATAATTAGCTCCCAGGATAGACGACTGGATCGTTGGAAAGAGCATTATGAGGAGCAGTTTAATTTGCCCACAGCCACGCTCAACCTTCCGAGCATCCAACACCTCCCTGAATGGGATATAGACACAGGTCCTCCGTCACTAACTGAGGTTACTAAAGCTGTCACCAATCTGAAACTAGGCAAAGCAGCGGGACCTGATGGAATGACTCCAGAGGTATTTAAGTACGGTGGAGACAGCTTACTGTCCGGATTAACTGAGGTACTAGGCAGCGTCTGGGAATCAGAAGAAGTCCCATCGGGTTGGTGTAAGTCACTGATTATCCCCATATACAAGAAGGGAGACAAGTCTTCCTGTGATAATCACAGAGGGATTAGCTTGACTAATATAGTATCTAAAGTCTTAGGCTCAATAATCATGCGTAGACTGAGTGGTGCTCGGGAAGCACAAACA